AGAAGGGGGCGCGGCGTGGCCGCGCGGCTGCGGCCCCACACCGCTCCGGGAGCAGACCGGGGGCGCCGGGGGGGTCCCGCGGGCCGTTTCCCCGCCTCTGGAAGGCCGGCTGTGGGCTCTTCTCAGGCCGGGCTCTCTCGCCCAGACTACAGCGCAGCAACAGGCCCCTCTGAATCCAGGTGTCTCCGGGCCCGAGTGGAGAAATAAACACCAAGCGACGCCCGGCCCCCCCGCGGGAGTGACCGCAAGGCCCCAAACCAGCCCCGACCTTCACTCTCTGGACCTGCTGCCCAGCAACGTTCCCGCTTCAAAGGGCGGAGAGACGACCTCACGCAGCGTAAGCAAAGCGTCGCTCGCCGCGGCGTCAGGCGATGCTTGGCCGATATCGCGACTCAGAGCCTCCTGCTCCGAGCGGCCGCTGAGGTGGCCGGTGCGCGGAGTAAAGTCCGCGGCGAGGCCTTTCGAGGTCACGTGAAAAGCATCCCCCCCCCGCCCCCGACAGATGGAGTTAGGATGGGAACAAAACCAGCCTTGGTCACTATTAACATATTTAGTATGGCCTAAGCCTTTGTGGACTACAATCTGCTGCTTTATCGGAAACTGAGGAATTTGGCCATTTCTTCAATCGTGATTTACTTGTACACCCTTTCCCCCCATCACTGAAGCAGAAAACTGTTCCCCTTGCAAAATCCCAGGCCTGATTCACTGCTGAATCTGTCTTGGTTGTGCAGGTGCAACGGTGCCCGGGAGCCAAAAAGACTTGGGCTTTGCTGCTCTCCTTTTTTAGTATGACGCCATACATGTCACAATGCAAGCCCTGTCCCTTTTGAACTTGCAGACAACAGTATACAGCAGTACAGTACACATAAAGAGGGGCTTGCTGATTTTCATTCACATACATACACGCACACACACACACACATGAAATACCACTGAATACATTAAATGTTGGGAGAGAGATCAAATAAACAGGCAGGTTTCATAAAAAACAAAGGGAAACAAGATTGGACAATTAGTGGTAAGATTACCTTTACTGGCCATTGCAACTCTTTTGATAGTACAGCTAATGCAAGAAGGTGAAACAGATTGTTAGAATGCCTAAGTATTCTTCTGAGGAACTTAAAAAAAATAAGCAGCTCTGTAAGAATTGAGTTTGGAGAAATAAAATGGCTCAGAATTGAAAGGTTAAGGATAAAGCATTAACAATTTGAGATAGGGAGATGACATCACGTAGTTGAAAGTAAAGAAGCTTCAGAAGAGCTCATTTTGGAAGTAGAATGGAAGGTTTAAAAATTGGGTTAATGTTGAATATTAAAATAAAGGTAATATTACCTGGCACTTTTAATGAACTCAGAGTTGACGATGAAGTAATATTTTGTTTTCATGGGCTCAAAAATATATAAAAGTGGATAGTATGCTGGAGAAGTAAAAAGATGAATCCTTGGGAAGAACACAATGACAAACTTATACAAGATAATGATAAAGACATTTCTAGGACAACAAAGATCAGAATAAGTAAATCAGTGGTTTTTTTCCTCAGTGGTAATATATAGCTAGACATTGAGAAAGAGCAAGAACAAGAAGTAAGATAGCTTCAAGTTAGGAATCTGGAAACAAAGTACCATAGATTGTAAGAACTAATCAGTCCTGGAAGAAATCAAGACACTCTGCTTCCTTGAAGAAATTATCAGCAAGTAGAAATGCACATACTTTGGTGATCTGACAAAACTGATAATGAAAAAAAATAACTACACTTGGGTGGTTGAAGAAAAGAGAAGACAATGGTAAGGAGGGTGGACAGGATCAGGGAGATTACTGGAATGTCCTTGGAAGAGCTATGGATTGTCACTTGAGCAGCATGGTACTTTCCCTTATACATTTTTAATTTTTTTAAAAAAATATGAAAATAAATTTGGGTGAGCCAGGGAGCTTGGCAGGCACCAAGAAATATGTTTGTGGGCCCATTTCCACCCTGCTCAATGAGCAGCAGCCATTTTACATATAACAAAAAAGTAATAGAGAGCATTAGTTTAGATAATGAAAATTAAGTTTGCTTCTCTGCAAATTTTCAGAATTTGTGCATCTTTCTTGAGAAGGTAGTCATTTCTCAAAACATGGTTGCTTGGTTCACACATAACACAAAACCATTCCTTATGTTTTACAAAATGTAATAACAAGTTTTCACTGTGGTTGCTCTCAAAAGGGTTGACAAAACAAATACTAGAAAGCAAATAAAGCACTGGCTTGTAGCCATGCGCCATTTTGTTTTCTAAGATCATTTCTGAGGCTTTGTATGGCCTCAAGGCATTGATGGAAATATAGACTCTCTTTTGCAGCATGGTACTTTCCCTTATATTTTTTTAATTTTTTTAAAAAAATATGAAAATAAATTTGGGTGAGCCAGGGAGCTTGGCAGGCACCAAGAAATATGTTTGTGGGCCCATTTCCACCCTGAGCACTATTACTTAAGACTCAGACATTAATGTAATATGTGAATCCAGCTACTGAGAACTAGAATAAGCAATATGTAAAGGATGGAAAAGTTTGAAGATTTTTTCTAAGTGTAGGCACTAACATTTTTTCTTAGTAGGAATGAGCAGCAGCCATTTTACATATAACAAAAAAGTAATAGAGAGCATTAGTTTAGATAATGAAAATTAAGTTTGCTTCTCTGCAAATTTTCAGAATTTGTGCATCTTTCTTTCATGATGGAACTCAGAAGTCTCCATTTTCTACCTATAGAAGAAAAGATTTTCTCTGCCTACCTTATCAGTACCATGTATATTTTTTTGAACCTTTATCATGTCCTTACTTGCCTACTCTTTATAAAACCAAAAAGTCACAACTTTTTACTTCTTTTTATTTATTCTCATACAGACAATACTTTCAACCTCAACAATTTTAACTTTTTTTATAGTTCTAAAGTATTATTTTGAGTTGGATGACCCAACTATATGAAGTTCTTCAGATGTCAGCACACAATGGATCTGTATTGTACCCTGTCACTAGCACATAGCCTTTCCTGAAGTTTGTAAAGTTTCTTCTGAGTTCCCATCCTTCATAGCTCCTTGTCTCAATCCTGTCTCCTGACCTCATCCTCAAATCTTTCATTTATTCTTTCATCAGCTTTGAGTCTGACTTATTCAGCACTCTTGTGCCATTTGCCTTGCCTATAGGCTCCCTACTCCTTGCATTCCATGCTGCTGCCTCTACTTCATCCTGCTCCCCCATAAAGCTCCTGCTAGTGTGAAATTTTAAATGCAGCCAGATCAACAAATTTTTGAACTATTTCTGAGACATGTAAAGCCTTGCAAACATTCACGTGGTTTTGTTCCCAAAGCAGATGGATTTTGTGGCATGACTCTTCTATACTTTCAAAGTCATCCAGCCAATCACAATCAAAGGCTTCATTAGCACAGGTTCATACAATGCAATCATAGGCAGTTCACTTCAAACAGATAGCTTGCTTCATCACATAATAAATTACTACTACTTTGTTGTTGTAACTGTGTTGACTGGATGTTCTGCACCTCCTGGTACAGTGCTCTTCTTAATTCTATAATTCTATTTCTCTGCTGTTCCATTTTTTAAAATTACTGGACTATGTACATATGTGGTTTACTGTTGCATTTATTTCATAACTTCTAATTTATTTAATACATTTCTATTCTGCTTCATCAAAACTGTTCAAGGTGGCTGAAATGCCTTCATCAGTAAATATTATTTGATTGAATCAGTACCCTGGATTAGACAAAGGAAAAAAACACACACACACAAATAAATAGGAAGGATTGAAAATGGTTTTAGAAAGCCCCATAATGTCAGAGTCTGCACGCTCAATTCCCAAGACCAGTAAATCCTATTAAACATATGCGGCATACTCCATTCACTGAATAATAGGAGGAATCTATTGAACTTCAGTTTAACTTGATATGGTTACATTTTGTACCTCTGCTTTACACATCCACTCCCATGGTTCCTTCTGCCTTGGTTTAGGCACCAGCATCATCAAGGTCTTTGATGATGCTAGTGCCTTTTGTAAGCCCCTTTAATGTTCTCTGAATTTAGCAAAAATGTAATGTTATTTATTATAATTATTTAAAGGATTAATTAAATAATACTAACTCCCTCTTGCTGTCCTATTACATAAAACACACAGATAAAACACACACATGCATTCACTATCAAGTTATTTTGACATTTCCATTCCTTGCAGTGGTCATGAGCTTTTTGATGTTCAGGAAGAGGCCAAATTTCTCACTTTTTCTTTAATCCCTTTGATTAGATGTTTCAGGCCTTCTTTGGTTTCTGAGAGTTGTGTCATCAGCATATGGAAGACTGTTGATGTTCCTCCAATCTTTACTCCAGTTTTTGATTCTTCAAGTTCCAGCTTCCCTCATGATCACTTCAGTATACAGGTTGAACAAGAAAGGTGAAAGAATGCAACCTTGTTGTAATCCTTTCTCTATTTTGAACCAATCAGTGTCTCCATGTGGTGTTCGCACAGTGGCTTCCTGATCTGTGTACAGTGACTGCACCAACTTGACCAGTTGCGCTGGGACCCCCAGGTCTTCTAGGGTTCTCCACAGCTTGTCACGATTGATACAACTGAAGGCTTTCTTGTAGTCAATAAAGCAAATGTTCTTTTGATATTCTTTAGATTTTTCCATGATCCAGCATAGATTTGCAGTATGGTCACAAGTGCCATGACCTCTTCTGAAGCCAGCTTAAACATCTGATAATTCCCTTTCAATCGTTGGTGTCACACATTCTTAAGGGGATGTGCATATTCTTAAGGGGAATCTTGCTAGCATGAGGGATGAGGGCAATTGTGAAATAATTGGAGCAATCCTTGGAGTTGCCCTTTTTTGGCAATGGAATGAACACTGATCGTTTCCAGTCCTGTGGCCATGAGTTCGTTTCCCATGTTTTCTGGCACAAAGCTGTGATGGTTGTGGTCGTATGGGCCTCAGCAATTCTGCGGGGATGGTATCAGCACCTGAAGCCTTGTTGTTTGGCAGTTGGCTCATTGCCCACACAACTTCTTCCTGAAGGATGGCTGGTTCTACTTCTGCTACTCTTTCTTCATCATCCTGAGAAGGCTGGGCCTCTTTTTTGCTGACATACAGCTCTTCTGTATATTCTTGCCATCTGTTCTTAACACCTTTTTGGTGAGACAGTGCTTTCCCTTGCTTTTGTTGATGTTGGTGTTCGAATCCTTTTGACTTGTGCAAATGCATTCCTGGTGTGGCCCTTCATGCAGTCCTCTTCTAGCTGCTTGCAATGCTGGTCCCAGTAAACTTTGTTGTCTTTCCTTGCTGCTCTTTTGAAATCCACATTCAATCTCCTTGCTTCCTCCCATTTGCCTGCTGCTTTAGCTGCTTTTCTTCGCTCAGCTATTCTGATGGTTTCATCAGAAGCTGCTTGCACTTTTTCTCTGACTTCTTGTATGGTATGTGTTCAACTGCTATTTCAATGATGGTCGATTGAATTTCTTGCCACAGTTCTATGGAACTCTATAAATAAGGTGTCATTAGAACTGGCAGGAGTAGGGGGGTGATTGTGACCAGCAGGGTTTTTAAATGTGATTTTTCAAGAAACCTCAGCTCATAATTCAGGAGCATAGAAACAGCAAGTGGTTGGCAGCTGGCAAGGAAAACAGTACTATGTCCAGAGTGACATGGTACTGGCTGAGAATAAATATCAATGCAACAGGAGACATATTAATTACAGAATCATAGAACATTGGGGTTGGAAGTGATCTTGGAGATAATCTAGTCTAATCACCTTCCCAGTGTCCTTTGGCAGGAGAATCAAATAATCTAACATTTAGGACAGAGAAATCCTGAACAGCAAGTAAGATTTTAAAATCAAGGATAGCAAACGGTCAGCTACATACCGTACAGTAGTTTCCAGAGCAATAGTGTCTTCAGGAGTTCACTTGATTTCACCAGTGTTACATACTGAAAGAAAAGGGGCTTTAGGAAAAGTTCCTGAACCTCAAATACAGCACCTGTGCAGGCAATACTGCCATATAACTGGTAGAGGCTAAATATATAAGAAATTGCTCCCGAGCTCAAGTCCCTCTTTGTCAACTGGAATCAAATAATTTAATTTTTATATATTTTGAAATTACTTCATGTAAATGTATAACTATTTACATAAAATAATGTAATGTTAATTTTTATTTATAATGAAGGGGGGAGATATGGTATGCTTCTGTTACTTTAAGGGAAGTCCCAGAATGAATTAATCATGGTTAAAACCAGGGACAGAACATTGTATGTGATTTGTCTTGAGTATGCTGTTGTTTTACTGAGATGGGCTGTTCTGCTAAGAAAAAACAGTATTTTGCAATATATACTCTCCTGTCACCTCCTTGAATATAGGGAAAATATTTACGGCCTTTTTTTCTACACTGTAAGGTTGCAAATGGAGAGGACTACAGTACTGTGCTTTTTTGGGTCCTAATTTCAGGTGGTCCTGTTGATGCCTGTCTTTTCATTCAAACTGATCTGTTTTTTATAGACAAGAGTGGAAGTCCAGACTTATTTTATTTATTTGCATTTATCTATTTGTCAATTAGGCAAATGGAAAAAAAAAAACTAATTCTTGGGGCAGAATATGCATTTACCAAACCAACCATGTACTGACCTCTACAGGGGACTCATTCTCTGAAAGCAAGCTTGAAGAAAGTATCAAACCCAAGGAATGCCCAGGGTCCAAGTCCAGCACAGCTGGCAGGGAAGACCAACCCTTGCAAATGTCAGACTTACAGCCCAACTATAACCCAAAAGCCTCTGCACCATCATTATTGCTGCTGAGCAGACTTGTATTTTGGATGGAGTTGAAGCCATGTCTGAGGGCGGTAGCTTGCTCAGTTGGACAGCAACCCAGTGCTGGGAACAACATCTTGGCTGCCCCTATGACCACCTGCTACAATCTTTGCCAGGTACTCCTAGGACTGACTACCTGGGCCCAGACCCAATTTGTATCTGTTCTTGTTGTTCTTTTGTACATTCTTTCAGTGTTTCAAAATATTGAAATTACTGCTACTTTAGTTGATGCCATAATTATTGCTAGACCTTGAGCTCATTCACACAGCTACTTGCCATATTTTCCTACTGTCCCAGAGTGGAAAGAAATTATGTTGGCATAAATCACACTGTCCCCACAGCATTCCTTTCATGGACCTTTACAGTCTTGCTGTGCTACTCTTTGTACAGCTCCTCCATATGATGCTGCAAGGGCAGCAATTAGCAGTTGTCCCTAGCTGTAATTCTATTTGTGGGAAAAGCCACCACCAATCACTGTACAGAATGGATACCAGGGTGGTACTTGGTGCTCTGTCCACCCTTTTCTTTACCAAAGGACTGTCAGCTTCCACTAGATGAGAGCAAAGAGTTTGTCTCTGATAAAAGCAATCTGTTAAATCACCTGGATTTGTGCAGCCCAGATGCAGCTGTTGCATAAGTGTTCCTGGAACTGGAGTTCAAGAAAGGGAGTTAGGTACGTGTGAAAAATGTATTCAGCTGCAGGGTAGTCTTAGGTCAATCAACCAGTCAAGCACTAGATGACAGCAAAGATTTTGTCTCTCTTAGCTGCCATCTAGAGATCATCCAGATCTCAGAAATTGATATGAAGTAGCTGGATAAGTGTTGAAGAAATGGAATCTGAGAAATTATTTTACAGTATATTGTGTCAGCTCACAAATACACATAGCTCTGACATAAAAGAGTAGGGAAGGAAAAATATATAGCTGTATGTTAAAGCTATCCATCTTTACCAAATTACCTTTGTGATGGAGTGACCCTTTTAGAAGACCATCCCACGAGGAGAGGAACTGAGGGGTCAGGGCTTCTCTGAGAACAGAGGTTACTAGGAAGAGAGTTGACCAGTGCACATGCTACAGAATGACAAAAGCAAAGTCCTTTCAATTGCACTTGCCTTAAACCTGGGTTGAAGGAGTCAGTTTCTGGGCTTTACACTCTCTAGGATGATAATCAACATGATTGAAAAAGAAAGGGAAGTGGCTATCAAAGTCGGGTTTTGGTTTCTTCTGCAGCCAAGGCAGAACTGCAGAGGGCCATCACACAGCAGATCTGCTGTGTCAATTTTAACTGCTTCACCTCTTGCCCGCCTCCTCCATGTACCATGGATTGTCAGGTCAGAGAAAACATTACTTTCATGCTGAAACATGCTGGACCAGCTTCAGCTTGTCTCAATAACGGGCTATGTATGAGATGGAAGGCATGCCCTGCTGTGAGGACATGCCCTCAGCAAAGAGTAAGTGAGGTATTTTAATATAGCACTAAACCAGCTGAGTTGATGAGCCTCCTACCTCTCTTTTACTTTCTGGCTGCTTGCTGTTTGGCTAGATGGAAGACTCAAACTTAGCACCAAGTCCTACCACCGGAAAGCCACAGGACAATCAATAGGATAACTTACAGCCTTTTGCAGCTACTTATGACTCATGCCTTTTTTATTTCAAATGAAACCATTTGGGTATAAAAATTTACTTTAAAGGGTATATGTATTTGTATGGGCAACTATGCATACTGAACTAGGAACTGGACAGGTGGACAAATATTTGTGGTGGCTTGATCCAGTTCAGTCTAAGGTTAGCTCTTTAAATTGCTATAATGGATAAGAACCATACTTAAACCACTTTTTAACCTATAAAGACTCTACATGAAAGGTATAGTTCCTGGCACAGAAGATGCAAAAGAGACCTCAGAAGCTAAAATAGAGCTGAACTTTGCCAAGGAGGCAGGTTCTGAGGCTCATTCATGTCTCCTGTTGATCCCCCTCCAGCCTACTAGTGTTAGTAATGCTAGATGTGGGCATAGTCCCAGTATGAGTTCTGTGCTTCATGTGCTCCACATTTGTATTCCTGGAGTCAGAAGCAGAAGGAACTAGTTGAGTAAGAACCTGGTCTTAAGGGAACCCATTCATGGCCACAGTGGAAAGGAGTAGGACAATATTACCTCCCTAAGTCCTATAACAGTTCTATCCATTCAGACTGCCTGGCCTAGCTGTGAAAACTTCCAAGTATTTCCCTGAGTAACAGCCAGATAGGTACTATCTAGATACGTTCCATGTCCCTGTACTTCTCAACTTTTCTTCAGTTTCTCCACCACCTCCTTCAAGATCAAACACAGCTCCTTCATGGCTAAAAGTCCAAGTTCAGATGGAGAGTATATTTCCAGGAATCTCTTTTCCCTGCCTGTATCCTTGTGTTGATGCCTAGGGCATAAAAGAATTCAATGGACAGCTTTCAACACTAATGCCTTGATGGCTGTGGGGGTGGCATTCCCAATTGACAGGCTGGTTTTAGGGCCATCCTGATGGTGTGATGAACGGTCTGATTTGCTAGTGCTGCCTTCCAAGATAGGGAGACCAAAGCGTTTGGTTTGTCTCTCTTGTGCAGCTGGTGTAATCACCAGAAGGCAGCAGAGCAATTTGAAGATGGCCCGTCTCATATCCTTACTGGTCAAGGTATAAATGATGGGATTAAGGAGAGAATTAATCATAGCTAAGCCCAAGAAATAGTCTGCCTTGTACAATACACTGCAGGCCTGGGCCTGGCATGCAACATCAAGCAATAGGAGGAGGAAGAGAGGTAACCAGCAAGCAATAAAAGTGCCCACCACAATAGTTACTGTCTTCAACAGGGCCATGTACTTCTGGGACTTCTTAAGCATACCCTTGTGAAGACTCCCCAGACGCTGCCCATTGAATTTGACCATGTGATAGATGCGGGCATAAAGCACTACAATAGAGACCAGGATAGCCAAGAAAACAGTGATACAAAAGAGGACATAATGCTTGGTATAGAGGGGCAACACAGTAGAACATTCAGGAAGTTTTTCAATGCAGTTCCAACCCAAAATTGGCAGCACTCCAAGCAAGACAGAAGCCATCCAGCTGGCCCCCACTAACAAGAACATCCGTCCTTTCTTGTCCCTATGGTACAGTCTCATGCGGACCATAGTGATGTGCCGCTCAATGGCAATTGCAAGGAGGCTGAGGACAGATGCCGCCAGTGTGACAAAGACCCCACCTTCCCGTAAGAACCACTGCACGGGAGTCAGTTTGAGAGTGTTGGGCCCCGACATGATGATATTGGCAGTGTAAGCCACTCCAGCAAGCAAGTCTGACAGTGTCAAATTTCCAATCAGATAGTACATGGGTGAGTGGAATTTCTTGTTCCTCCAGATAGCCAGCAAGACCATTAGGTTCTCCAGCACAATGAACGTACACACAACAAGAAAGAGGATGGCATCAGCCTTGAGGCTGCCTTTGTATTTACTGGCATGGAGCTTGCCTGTGTAGTTATAGTGCAAGGAAATTATGTTGTTATTATGGTAGTCTTGGTAGAACGGCATCAGGTAATATGGAGACTTCATGCTTGTGGAATCCATCCCATTGATGTTGCTTTCACCTTAGATTCACAGGTTTACATAGTATTGCAGAGTCCTTTCCATCATCTTGTGCTGAAGGAGAAAGAAAATTGTTTTCACAAACAGCAAGTTCTTTTCATTCTTTCTTGATGGAACCTAGAAATTCAACAAGAAATCCATTTGAGTTATAGCTAAATGCCATCCCAGAGTTTTAGCTGTAGTGTTCTATAACTGGCTACTAATTGTGATGACTATATAATGCCTCCAATATGTCTCTTAATAGAAATTGCTAGGGAACACAAGGAGAGGCTATTACTGCAGTTATATCTTACATTTTTATTCCCAAAAGCATCTAGAAATGGAACCTTGGCTGATTCAGCTTGGCTCTTCCTATATTCTTATTGAAAGTCAGACCACAGGGTCTTCTAATTAAACTTTCATCAATCTGGAAGTACATTTCCCCTCATTCTGACTAGTCTGGATATGATGGGTGATGGGACTTGTGGTTCCATATGCCTGGAGGAAACCAGTTTGGTGGAGTTGGAGCTGGTTTTAACCCCTTACTGATAGCACTATCTAGGAATTAGGACCCGAACTGAATTGGAACCCTTTATATACTCAGAACTGGTCTGTATGAAATGCTAAGCCATGGTAAGATTAAGATTAGTATAACATCTGAATCTGGACTATATATTAAATGGTTAATTTGATAATAAAGTATTGGATATTTTATTTGTTGCATTTACAGTCTAGTGTTTTGTATTTCTGTTTCTCACACTGGCTGGTCATTGACTACAATGAACAATAATAATATCACGTTAAATTGTGGTAAAGCAGAGCAACTTAACCATGGTTTGTAATCATGTTTTGGTTTTCTTAGCTTAAAAACTGCACTACAATACTGCCCCTCCCCAATGTGTAGTAGTCCCATTTCTATCAGACAACTATGAATTAGTCCCTCCCTGCCAAAATCGTAGGGGTTAGGAAACTGAGCAGCTACCACCAAAAAACTTGTTTGATATCACCCAATATGAATGTCTAAGATCTTCTGCTTTGTCTGGGGTGATTTCCCAGATCTGTTACCTATAATTTATAGTAAACCAGATTTAGTAAGTCATGTGAATCTGACATGATCTGCTACATTCTCAAAGCCTTCAACAGTTTTCACATATCAACCTTAGCCATAACGTTGAGGGTTTTTAAACATTTGTAAACTTAGTGCATTATGTAAACCCAACTAACTTTGGCTTCTTCAACAAAACTCCATTAAAACAAATGGCTGCATTCACATAACCGACTAAACCATAAATCATGGTTGCTGGACAATGGCCAAACCCAAACCATACAAACCACACTATGGCTTACTTCAATATAACATTATATAATCAACAGGAGTGCATGCCAGTTGAACCTCTGGGAAAATATAGTATGCTGAAAACTGTGGATAACACGTGTGTGTGTGTATCACTATAGAAAGAAAAAGCCTGTGATCTAGTGAATTCATCTTGTGTAGTAAGGGATTGTTTGCTTTGCCCACTGCCTTCCAAGCCCATTTCACATTGCATATAATTAATGAAAAATGGTTCTCCCAGCCTGCCAAGTTTAGTAACATGCCACTGAGACCCTTGCTATAGAGAAAAGCCCACAGATGCAATTTTGCTGCTGTGCTATCCTCACAGGGCTTGTTGGCATGCCACACTTCTCAGGACTTATTAGAATGCTGCTGAAGAGGGTTTGGCATCATAGTGTGAACAGAAACATGCTGAAGCTTTCAATTCATCTGTCAACTGATCTTCTCTTGCAACTTCCCCATTAGCAGCCTATTGGGAAGTGTATTTTCCAACCTGCTAGACAAATGTACACAGATCTACTGTACGTGGACAAATACATAGATTTTGTATGTCAAATCACAATTCTAGCTTGACTTCTAATGTCTACCTGCATATGTCTGTGATTTTGTTTTGTTTCTTTGTTTTATTGGCAACAAAGTAGAAGGGGCTTGACTTGTCTTTTGGGGAAACAGTTTTGGGTTGCCAGTCTAGACTATAGCCCTGTAAACCAGGATATATCAGCTCCTGAGCATATAACATTTTGATCACAGCATTTAAATAAAAGGTGAAATATTTGTTTCACTGAAGATAAAGCCAAACATTAATCTTTGAATATTAATTAGAACCCCTTCATGGATCACTGCCTTGTCGTGGCGAAGGGGCTTCCGTAACTCAGTGAAGCCATG